AGGGGCCGCAATAGATGAAGTTAAAGTTATGGGTGTAGATGGGGATGCTGTGGAAGATAGGTCTACATTTTCGAAGTGCTGCAAGGGTGATTGTACATTGGCTGATATCTGGGTCGGAGAAAGAGTGCGGAGACCGAGCATTGGGTAGCTATCGAGGCCTCCAAGAGAGCCTTCAAGAGGAGCAGTTCTGGTAGAACAAATGGTCTCTAGATGCGACCTCTGGGGCAAAAGATCCTGATAAATGGGATAGACATGCTCTATTTTTGGAAGTAAAGGAACTGAAGGCACGATATCTCTAGACCTCGATTCAGAGGGCAAGGGAGAATGTGATGGTGAAAATAAGGATGAAATAGAGGTGCCAACTAAAAATCTCTCTTTCCCTCCTGCTTCCACGCCAGCATTCCCAGTGTGAAAGTCGTGTCGTGAATCCGGAAATGTATGCTCTGCGGGCAAGGAAGACGGCGTAGAATGGATAACCGAGCAAATAATAGAAGAGAGGGGAGAATGAAGTTGTTGTGGAGACGGAGGTAGAGGACATGATCGAGTATATGACTGCGAATGGATTACTTGTGATGTATTATGTCCGAGGCAGTATTGCAAACCTTGATCATGGATACGAGGATTACAGGAGAGCTGAGGATGCTGAGGATGGTAGTTAGGTTGGGGCATCGGATCTCGGTCTATCAGGTTTCCGGAGCAATTCAAAGGGATATGATGTTTGCACAGGCCAGAACAGGAATAGGGCAGTGGATAAAATGGGTAGGAATGCTGTGGCTGCTCTCGGAGCTTCTGGGATTCTGTAAGATGTCCGATGGTAGACGCTTTAGCATCTGCACAAGTACTACTGAGTTGATGGTCTACAGGATGTTCAAAGGGACAGAAAAAAGTTGTAGGACAGGAGAGAGAGTTGGATGAGGTGGAAGAGACAGTAAAGGAGTCAAGTGAAGTTGCGCCCGAGGCAGCGCCTGAGGATGAAGAGCCGACAGACGGATAACCGGCAATGAGGCCACATAAACTTTTCCCGTGGTAAGGGAAACCAATGCCTGATATGATTTCATTGAGATCGTTGGAACAAAGCTCACAAGCCGGACCACCATTAAGCGAATGGAAGCACCCATCTTTCTCACCAAAAGTTTCAAGGTATTCCTGAGATAGCTTGCCGGGCGCCCCAAAAACAGGGAGGGGAAAACCAGCATGGAAGTTATTACTGTCTGCGCCACTCCATGTTTGCGCCCGGCTACGATAATATTCATCGCTCTTCATTCTTTGTTTGACCGTGATCGAGAATATTTGTTGTGATAGCCGAGCTTAAAATACGTTGATTTGCATTTGGTTGAATTGATTAAACTCGAGCGAATTTAAGGGAGAAAGATAGGCTACGAAATAATATGAATAGATAAAATGCTAGCGAGAGTGAAGAGAGAAAACAGGCGAATTATAGGAGGTAATGGGAATTGAAAGATCAGTCGACTGCAGCAATTGCTATAGACTGGCCGAGAGGAGCATCACAGCGAGGCCTGAAGTTATATAACTATAAAAGTTGTTCATTTCAACAATAGCTTAACAATGTGAAGTTATATGCATAGGCATAAGAACTGTAGCCAAATAATCTCAATCGTGCAAACAAATATATACATTAATTAGACCATAGTCTAAAAAATATGATTGTTCTTGATAGTATAGTACACAGGTGTTGTGCGAAGTCAATGTCCGAAAAAGCTGCAGCTGTGATAAATCAGAAGAGGATGTATGTCTAAAAGAAGTAATGGAAAGGCAATATAAGCACAGATAAATAATCGGAAAGAGCAAAATAAAAGACTAAGTATACACGTACATTCCAATATACATTCAGACAACGTGACTGGGTCAGTAGCTCTGACAAAAAGTGGAGGCGAGCCATGAGAAGCTGTAAGGATATTAAAGAAACTAAGTATGATTATATCGAAGGCTGCTAGCACGCAGAAGAGCTAAGTATAGGCCTGCTGTATGTAGCAAACGTTAAAAGCATACACAAAATTCACACGTGTCTCAATAATATGCCATTATTTCAATACCTCAAACTAAACTTGTATTATTTTTCTCTCAAAATCCCATAATATGGAAAACATTTCCCACACTATATCGTTGCAACAATAAATTAAATTAACTTTGTAGACATGAAGTTAGACTGAATAAAAAACTTGTAGCCTACCCTAATATGATAGGTTTCCCATGTTAAAGCTTTTCCTTACCTAGAGATAAAAATGGTCATAAGTATACTATAATATCAAGGGCATAAAATTAGTCCTTTAATCACGGATATGAAATGTAGAAAATCTGTATATTAAATTAAGCTTCTTCTAAGAATATGAACCTAACTTGGAAGAAAGAACTAACTCATAACAGAGATTGAAACGCGATTCCAGAAAATAAATAGAACAAATATACTCCAGCAGGAATACATATAAAGACTTTCCTAATAGAACGACAAAAGAGAATTTGAGATTAACAGTTTAAAAACAGTACCTACTATTACTAACAATGCAAATAGACGTTAGGGTAACTAAATTATAATTTACAAGATAATTATTTTATTATCTGCTGTTATGGCAATCAGCCCAAGGCTCGAACTTAAGCCACAAATTATAAAGTAATGCAGTTGAAACGGTGCAGATGAAAA